CAGTGAGTCTGAGGCTGGGCAGGGGCCGCACATGTATCTAGGGAAACTGGGTCCTAATCCCCAGAATTCTCAGCATCTCAGTTATTTTCCACTAGTTACCTAACTCCACTGAGCTTTATTTTCATTACCTGTAAGAAAGTAACACACTTATTTGGAATCTAAACTTGTGTTTGATGAGCCTGTCTTGCATTCAACCCTGTGTTACTGGTCCAGGGTGCTGCTCGCGGGTCGTCAGCCTCCAGCAGACTCGTTGAGTAAACTGAATAAATATTTTTAAGTCACCATTTTGGGGGGAGGGGGGTGAAAACTTTTCTGGGTCATTTCCCCCAGTTCTCTCCTATTATCCTGTTAATTCACTATACATAATAGACAATTAAAAAGTGCCTCCAACTTAGCTTCTTATCACCTCCAGTCTAGCCTGGTTCTCCCCCTTCCATCCTCTTTCTTGGTGAAGGAGCCAGCGAGGCTTCACCTGCACAAGACAGAACCCTAGAAGCCAACATCAGCTTTTCCCTCTACCTCGTCCCTGTTCCCTCGCTCAGTAAGAAAAAGGTTTTGTGAAGCATCCTCGTCTCTCAGCCCCTGCCATCCCCAGTCTCTGTGCCGCTCGGTACCTGGACAGTGCAGTAGTTCCTCTCTAATCCATCCTCCATAATGATGATTGACTTTGTTTCCCCTCAAAGACAAGTTTGATCTTGCCACTTTTATTTAAATCCCTTTAATAAGTCCCATGGCCTTTAAGATAAACTCAGCACAGGACACTCTCTGCAGCCTGCCTTCCACCTGCCAGTGAAGGGGTGGGGAGGGGACAGGGCACAGCCACTGAAGGAAGGACACAGCAGTGGAGGACCAGACAAACTGGTTAGAACCAAGGTGGCAGAAGACTCGACTTCCAGGTGACCTTGAGCCTCACGGCGCACCCACAGGCACCATGACAGTTCTCAGGCTGACCATGAAAGGGCAAAAGCAGGCCAGTGGGGGAGTGTTTTCTGGAAGTCCTTGCCCCTTCCCCAAAGTGGTTGGCATGATCCTCCTACTCTTTAGCACGTGAAATTACGGAGCCCATAAAACCCAACAGCACACCTCGTGGTCGCTCTCTCTCTTGCCTTCCGAGACGGCCCACGTCCTGCCTATGGAGTGTGCATCTCCTAAGCTGTTTTCCCTTCTGAGTGAGACAGATCACACTCTGTCCATGGAGTGTGCATCTTTCTTAATAAACTTGCTTTCCCTTTACCACGGCTTGCTCTTGAATTCTTTCCTGCGCGAGGCAAGAACCCATTCTCCCCCAACACCATGACATCACGCTTTCCTCTGCATCCTACACAGCTGTCCTAACCGCTCACTATAAACAGACTCCCTACACGCCAGTGTCCACAGACCCTCCCTTTCCCCCTGGAATGCTCATTCTCTGCTTGGCAAACCTTTGCACATTTGTGAAGATCTGGGTAAAAATTTGCCTCTCCGAAGGCTGCTTCATTCTACCGAACGGTGCACGCCTCCTCTTCCCCTGGGCAGTCCCCTAACTGCCTCCCTCCTTTGCGCCTCCCATCACATTTTTTTATGACCATCCATTTAGAAGTCTGTTTTGCTTTCCCTTGAGGCTTGGGTTTCTGAGAGCTGAGCTCCATACATCTGTACATCCCCATGTTCCTAGAACAACAGCAAGTGCACAATGAACACGCGACGAATGATGGAGTAAGTGGATAATTAAACAAGCAGAACCTAAATGGTATCAACCCAGATTTGTTATTTATTTGGTGTTTCTTATTCCATTTTTTCCCCTCTGAAATCTGCAAGTATCGTTGGTCTCTGTTTCTAGTTTTTGCTGGTTTGCTTTTAGAAGAGTCATCGAAGGAGGGTGTGGAGAGGAGGATCCTAATGAAATAGATTATATTTTGGCTGCTCTGTGACGTTGTGTAGTCCTGCCTTTGCATCATTCTTCTGCGTGTTCTCTCGAGTGAACCCAGGAGGGGGAGTGTGGTGTGAGACTTGGCTTGTGCCTGACAGCTCATTTCTGAAGGTGGGCTATTGAGTGGCCGTGTCCGGCTGGTGACGTTTCCAGCATAGGAACCTGTTAAATCACCAAGGCAGCATTAATGAGACAGAGTGGACTGATTTCTATTCTGAATTGCTTGGCAGTGCCTCAGTACTGAGGCATCAGATTTGCTCAATGTGCTACTTGGAAGATTATTTCTTCCTTCCCTCAGCAGCCTTTTTAAGACTGTGGTTGACAACACTGTCTTACTCTCTGGTCCCTCTTCAGAGACAGCCTCACGCACGTTTCTGAGATCAAACTCATCTCCAGCTACTTTCCCCGGTGGACCTGAAGTAGCAGGTCCCTGAGCCAGGACCTCAGGTTTCTTCTTTTTTTAATTTCACCATTCCTGAGTCATCAACATAAACTTTTCTTTCAAGAGGCTGATCCTACTAAGGTGAGCGAGTGGAAGAGCTTAAATGTGGATGAGAATGAATTTCAAATGCTGGCTGATTCTCATCATCTGCATTTTTGTATCCAGTGGTTTCTTTTCTGAGTCCTGTTGGAATAGCAACAGACCTCTGAATATTTCCTTCCCCCGAATCATTGCTTTGAAGAACCTGGAGAAGATGTGAAGGTGAATGGTATCTGCTGCTTCATGGCAAAAATCCGGGCCCACACACTGCACTTCATTGGCCAAGCCTCAGAGCCATCACCTTTCCCAGGAATAAACTCTTAGGTCATTCAGTGGCCACCTGTGATGTCATTGTCACACTGGTGCGTCATTGGTCAGTCTCAGCCCCGGAATGGGTCACAGTTCAGATCGTGGCTTTGGTCAGAGGCCTATGATCGGATTTCCATTTTGCCATTTACAGCTTATCCTTAATTCCTTGTCTGCAAAATAATGCCCATCACAGAGTTTTGCAGTGGACATCAAATGAGAAGTGTGTAAGTGGCTAGCAGGTGCCTGAGACTGAAAGGGTGCTGTGCAGGTGCCCTCTCTTCCCCTGGCTGTTGCAGGTGACCCCTCCCCTGGTGCAGTCTTTATTTTGTTAAAGCAAGATGCAGCCTTCGCCAGAGGGCTCTGCTTCTTTATTGACGCCTGCCGTCCCCTGACCCTCCGGCTGCTACAAAGTGTTAATAATTCTGCTGGTTTCCCTTCCCTGCACACAGATGGGGGGGAGGGGGCAGCATCAGACAGCTTTCCCAAGCTCAGCTGAACTCCAGCATCACCCAGGCAGAGCCCTGTTCTGTCGAGAAAGCATCTTCCAGAACCTGAAGTAGCTGTAAAGTGCATAGAAGATTCCAGGATCACAAGCGCCCCCTAGGGAGTGGCGGGGAAAGGTGTTCAAGCATCCCTGAAACACAGCGCCCCCGTGGACAACAGCATCTCCACGAGGGTCTGGCTAAATCGCGAGGTGCCTGCCGCCTGGCTTCCCTTCTCCCTCCTTGGCGTGTAAACAATTCGTAATCATCGCTCCTGTGGCTGCAAAGGTTGGGAATGTTTGGTAGATGGAACATGAGAACGGGAGTGAGCTATATTAATACCCTTTACATGAGTCTGAATCGGGGGGAGGCCTGTGCTTCTTCCCTAGCAAAATTATATTTCCCCCAGCAGCGTGGTAGCGATCGAAGGCATACTCTCTGAAGCTAAGACTTTCCGGGTTGATGTCCCAAGTATGTTATTTGATCAGCTCTCTCTCTTTTTTTGGCAGATTACTTGACTTATGATCTTGATTTTCTTAAACTGTAAAATGATGATATTAACATTTGTTAACTCACAGAGTCAAGTTCAATAAAAATAATACATACGGAGTGCTTAGAATAACACTTAACAAACAGCGTGCACTCAGTAAATGCTGTTTTCTCTCCTTGTAGCAAATCTCTGGTATCCACGAGCAAGAGCACTGGCTTTTGAATCCACTGATGTAAGACTTTGTTAGCCCGCTCCTGTGCAGTTCCTTCCCTGAGAGCACTCCTGTGATGCTAAAGGCCTTGTTCTCTATGTCTGTCATCCCCCGAGACCCCGGAGGTTTAAAGTTATATGTAACTTCTTTTCTTAGCAATCAATACCCATTACGTGTAGCTCACGATTACAGCTTTTCCTGGAGAAAGATGTTAATGGAGTCTGTCAAGACCACGAGGCAGCCACTTCCTTACATAACGGCTTGCGAGTTTCCTAAAAGCCCGACCTTCAGCTCGAAAGTGATCAGGAAGCTTCCAATAAGCCCAGGAGTCTCACCAACACTTCTCACTCCTGGGTGATGATCCATTGTCCTCAAGGGTCCGCCACAAAGCCACGTAAGCCTCACCGGCCGCGCCTTTTCCTGACACTTACTGTCCATTATGCGTTCTGGGGAAAGAGGGAGCTTTTTAAGTTCCCATGGCAGCGATGGCTAATCTGCTGGCCTTCGATTAAAAAAAAAAAGAATAATATACAATTTAACAACAGAAGCAAAATCTAGACACTAACAGTGGTCTTTGGGAGACTGGGTTATTTGGGGCTCTTGTCAACCTCGAGAAGACTGGATTTCAGAACTGAGAGTAAATAGGATGTATCTCTGCAGTTTAAAAATCTCCAGTCAAAGCTTTCAGGCTGCCGGTTTCCCTTTTGTTCAGGGATATGGTCCCTGTTTTTTACCTCAATTCATCACCCCTGGCAGAAAGGGAAGTGTGTCTTGCAAAATTCACCCAGGTACTTTCTTAATAATCAGGAGCAGGACTTTAACAAATTTCTTAGTAAGTTTATTTAGAGTCATGATCTAGACGGCCGATGTCTGTCTGACAAAGGGACGGAATCCTCCTGTTTTTTGTCTGCTCGGAGATTTAGTTTGCTATGTCGTCACCTAGTGGCCATTCTAGGAATTTACTGATAAATTGTCAGACTAAACTGCCACACGTTTGCACAGTGATCAGGCGGTTATGACCTTTATAACGACTTCCCAGTTTCAGCCCATCAGTGTGTGTGTGTTTTAATCCCATAACCACTTGTCTGTACCGATGCCTTGAGAAAAAAGCAAAATGGCTATTTGGAGCCGGTGGCATTTGAGAATACAGTCAGTCCTCTGTCTTCACGGGTTCCATCCGCATCCAGGGATTCAACCAACTACGGATGAAAAAAAAAAGTAGAAATTACTTAAAGTGCACGGGAAAATGTGCATAGGTTATGTGCAAATACTTAGCCATTTTGGGTAAGGGACTTGAGCACCGGAGAATTTTATATGTTCCGGGGTCCTGGAATCAACCCTCTGTGGATACCAAGACAAGACTGTAATGGATGCTGTATTGGGGGTGCTGGTTTGGTTTTGTTTTATTTTGGGTCACCGTCGCTGCATTCCTGGCAGAACTGATGTAAAAATATACTTGAGATTCCCTGACACCGTATCATTTATAGAATATATTGTAACAAATACAGACACTGATTTACTTTTTTGGAGAACTTTTAAAAGGACTTGCGGAAATTAAACTGCCCTCCACCCCTTGCAATTACAGCTGCTAATGTCTCTGCTCAGTTGGACTTTTTCTGTTTCTGTTTTATGCCGTTTGCTATGAGTTTCCCTGGTTCTGCATCACTCAGTGGTCAGAGATTCGGGCAGAGGTTTTGTTCAAATGCTGGGAGCCCGTAAACCCCTGCCTTTCAGCCATGGAGCTGCGTGTGGGTCGGGGAACACAGTCAAAGTTCAGTAGGTTTCACTCCTCTCTGGATTTTCATCTGTGGTGCTCTCTCTCGGGTACTCAGCCCCCAGGCAGCTGGGGAGAAGTGAGGGGCTTGTCCAACCTGCCCTGTTCCTCTCACGCCCACGTCCCCTTCCTCCCATTTCGGGCTGGTCCACTCTCACCCTTCCTGTGACTACCACCTCAGCTTTACAAAGATGCACCTTGGTCCTATTTGTTTCCTGTAGGCACTTTGGCTGATAAATGATTTGAGTTCCTGCTCCCCAACCCAAAGCAGCCCACTGAATGTCTTCAAAGAAATGTCAGTACAAACTCAGATTAAGGTCTTGGAAGGCGCAGTGCATATGATGGGTTCTGAAGCTCCAGCCCCGTAAGCTTCCAGATAAACCTGGAATCATGCGCAGAGGGCATGTGACCCAGCTGTGGGGGACACCCGGCTCCCCAAGACACAGCAGCCCAGGACTGTGGCGCACTCAGGCTACGTTTAGGTGAGTACCCGCATCAGGAAGGGTTACTTATTTGTGGCAGGGCAGCAAGGCGTTTGCGGGGGCCGAATAGGAGGCAGAGATGCTTAGACAGTGGGTCTAGACAGTAGGTTAGCAGGTGTGTCCGTTCCCAACAGGAGTCCTGCGAACAGTTGTAGTTTCAAGGGAAAGGATTCAAATCCTGGATAGTGACAAGAGTCAGAAAGATTAGGGCTGTGAATTCATAAGTGGCTTTATAACCAGGGAAAGAACCGGACCTGCGAGGGGACCACTCGTAGGGGTGGCTGTGAAGATGCTTCCTAATTGGTCGACAGTATTGGAAGAAGAGGATCTGGAAGATGTCGAGCAGCATTTGAAAGGAGGGTAGGGAGGGTCTCTAAGGCCTGGGGCAGGGGGACCCATGGCAAATACTACCTGAAATTAAAAGGAGGCTGACTATCAAAGGACCCCGGGGGTTATTTGAAGAACAGGGAGGTAGATGTAGGAGTCTAGAGTGATTGTTTCGGCAGGAAGCAACGAAGCAAGAAGACTTAGGGAATTCCAGACATATTCATAATTGGAGACAGAGAAGAAATTTGAAAATAAAAAATCACAAGAAATGCGTAGTCAGCTGAACATGGAGCCCAAGGTAGAGGAAGTAAGTGGTGATGGGGAGTTTTCCCAAGAAATACGGGAACAATAAGAAAAATGACAAATCCAGAAAGTGATTTTTTCATAGGGGGAATGAGATACCACCAAAATGTATAGCTTCATCAACACGTGTTGTCGTCCAGGCAAACAGGGACCATCCCTTCATTCTTGGACATCAGAGGGTTATTGTGTGGTTTTAATACGGAAATTCTCTTTTTTTTCAAAAATTTACATAAAATGTCTCAATTAGCATATTTTGCTTCAAGCGTGCATGTATCAGGATTCTTTCCCAAAGGTGTGGTTTTAATTGGAACAGCAGATGCTTATTGAAAGCAGACTGGGTTTAAAGTGCTGAGTCACGGCTGCCCTCGGCAGAGCTCAGTCTCTCCTCCCACCTGACTGTCAGCAAAGCAACAAAATTCCCAAGAACAGCCGGCTTTCGTCCTTGACTTGCAGCCTTTATTTAACTGGATCAGAACATTTGCACTTAGCATGTGGAAGTTTTATTTCAGTAAATGAAGACAATAACTGCATATAGCTTTAACAAAAAAGAAAACAGAGAACACAAGAGAGCATGTTGAGAAGCATCTGCATGAGAAACCGAAAAATGCTGAAATCGTTCCCAGGACAACCCCAGGCATCGTAATCCACTGACGGGGAGAGGAGGGGACAGGACAGCGCAGACAGGGCACATTCCGTGTTCAAACCCGTATACTGTAAGGACCTCAAAGCCCTTTGTGGGGATTGTGAGCGTTTCTTCTCTGCTGGCGTTAGTTTTCTGAAATTCTTGTAAGCCTCTGACATTTCTGTCAAGTGCTTAAGGAATTCTAAACGTTTCAGAACTCGGAATGAAATACTAGGCGTTGGGGATTACCAGGAACGTTTCACGTCCGCTGTTGTCACCGTCGCAAAAGTTGAAGAACGATTTTGTAGTTACGGTGACATTTATTCCACTGCCTTCACCAACAGGAAATGAGCAAGATAACCATCTACCTTTTCATTAACTAGTGGGGTCTGATGTTTCCTGCACGGACTTTCTTGTCATTTCTGCAGGAGAGAATTTCACTTAAACCATAATTAATGGTGATTATGTCAGGTTCAAATTAAGGTGAACACTTTCCTGCTCCCAAAGAGATAACCTGTTATAAGAGATGTTTTTCTTCTTGAGGCTCAGGGGGGTAATTTGCTATCCTCCAAGTTTTGACTTCTTTTTTTAAAACTAATGAGATGAATAATTTGTAAGAAAATACTAGAGCAAGGAAACTTTTATTTTTGTATTAAGCTAAAGAGCATTGGGAAAACGACACGGTATTTTTTGATCGCATATGCCTACGCCACAGGTTGTGAATTCTACGGGTAAATATTACAGAATGATGCTATTCCTCTTTGAAATTGTCTGCCTGGATAGAAAGAACATTTGAAAAACTACCAGTTAACAGTGCAGCGAATATGCAGAGAAGGTTGTGGAAATCTTGTATCCAGAATCTTCACCCCAGCCTTGCACAGCCATTTTGAATATCCAACTTCAAGCTCTAAATAAAAACAGATGGTTAAGAACAAGTTGTTTTCTGTAAAATCTATAAGCATGTGATAGTTCCGATACTCATGTATATCTATGAATTACGGTAGCCTGCCTGGATTCTGTTGTATATACTCCACGTAGCCACGGTTTCCCCAGATCTCCTCAGCTAATTAAGCAGTTATTATAAAATGGAAAGCTTATCACACGGAAAGAAAATCATTCTGTTCTTCATTATGGGAAGTCAAATAGTTTGCTTGCACGAAGAAGCATCTCCCTCTGCTCTCCAGGATGAGGCAGGTTCATCCTTGCAGAATGGAAGGACCTGCAGAAATGTCTTTCTTTCTCCACCGCAACGGGGAGAGTGTACGGGGTGGGATTTCTTGTAAGGATGCTTTGTAGGGGAAAGTGTCATATAAGCTAGTACGTTGCAGGAAGTCGACAGAAGTCGATGAATGGATGAAGGAAGGAATGAGTACAAAAATTCTGAAATGCAGCCAAACAGTGCTCGTTTTTGTCTCCCTTTGGCAAAAATTCACAATTTTGGGGTGCATTTTCTAACAGAGGCATAATAATTCAAAAGTGAAATCATCCCTCAAGTACAGCCCGTTACGGTTTTGTAAGTGGAAACTTTGCCATCATGAAAAGACTGTTCCATGAGAAAGGACACCTTTTCAGCGAAGACCTGGGACCCGCCCCAAGATGAAGAGCTCTGTGAGGCGGAAAGGAGGCTTAGAAGTAATAGATATTCGAGGAAGAAGAAACCAAAAAGGGTATATTATGTTGGAGACCAAGGACAAATAATGTTGCAAGGCGGGGAATATGACTCTTTCATTTTGTTGTTTTTTCAGCTTCATTGGGGTATAATTGCAAATAAAATTATAATGTGTGTATATACATATATATATATATGTATGTAAAGAAATACCTTTTCTGTGATTACCAGTACTATTCTGTCCTTTAAAATATCTCATGAGAACCCAAGTGTTACGTGTACTCTAGCCAAGAAAAGTTTGAGAAAGAGGCTTTGTTTTTGTTGTTATTCCTAATCTACATTCAGACTCTAACACTGTTGAATACTAGCTTGCTCCTGCGGTCAGGCTGAAGACTCGTGGTCTAGAACAGTCACTGCTGAATTACCTGTTAGAAATTTAAGCGTATCAGAGAAAACATTTCAACCATCCAAATCTTTTGAAATAAGATCTTGCCAATCAATGAATAGGTAAAGAACACAAAAGGATGCTAGCTTTTGAAAAATTTAAAACGGAAGCAGGGAGGGGAGGATATAGCTCAGTGGTAGTGTGTGTGCTTAACATGCATGAGGTCCTGGGTTCAATCCCCGGTACCTCCACTTAAATAAATAAACAAATAAATAAATAAAATGGAGGGAACCATCTGTCCCGGGAACCTACCACTTTGGCACTTTGGTTGGGATCGGTGATTCCTCGTGGCTCTTTACTTGCAGGTTTCTATAATAAATAGATTTTGTTGTGTCAGGAACAGAACCAGATACCACACATAGACACATGTACATGCGCAGACCACCTCTTCTTGATCCATGAAAAGTCTTAGTTTGTAAATTGCTATGGGATGGGGAGGGGGGCGGGGTAGGACAGTTCCGGTTGAGTGAAGGTTTCTCAGAAACTGTTTTTCCTTGTTAGCCTTATTGTGATGCTCTCCAGCAGTGTATTTGGTGAGAGATTTCCAAACATTTTTCAAGCACTAGAGCTTCCACTCAAAAAGATCTCAGTTGGAATCTCAGCAAAACCAATGTTTGAAAATGGGCTATGCTGTCGAGCGGGGCCTGGGGAGACAGGCCCGTTCAGTGTCCCCCTCCCCCGCCCGACTGTGCAGCACATCCTGAGATCCTCTTGTGTGATCAGAGGCTTCTGTGCAGAACCACAGATTAAAAACCATCTTAATCACACCCTTTGGGCCATTAGTAAAGAAAGCATAATGAGAATTGCTGATTTTAACAAAGATACAGTTGAGACTCGGTGCTCTCCACGCCTAGTTCTGAGGAAGAAGTGTTCACGGTGCCCTTGAGGATATGTAGACAAGGCCCCAGTGCTTAGGGAGATCTTAGACACCCTGTAATAGCTCCTGCTTTTGGCTCAGCCTCTAAGGCATGTGTGTGCTAAGTTACCTAAGTCGCTTCTGTTCCATCAATATTGATTCAGGGAACACACCTCCTAGTGGGAAGCCCTCCGCCGATGGAGGCCCCCGAGAAGCCATCACTGGGTTCGACCCCTGAGAACCTGGGTGAGAGAAGAGTGAGGCACCTGCTTCAGGAGCAACATTTAAGGGACACAGATAAGCTCTGTGGTCACAATGTCACATGTTAATGTGTTGTTTAAAAAAAAAATTGGTACCGTTCCCAAGAATTTATGATGAACATTTTAAAGAAAGACAGTATCCAACAGGGCAAACTTCGATCAGTCACCGCGCTCTTTCTCACCCTAACCCCAGTGCTGCTGAGAAGGAGGACGCTCTTATTTCTGCCTCAGATCAGAGAGCTGTGTAATATTATTGGACCTTTTCGAGGAACCAGTGAGCGTCAGTGCGGCACCAAGATTATTACTGAGATGGACACAGACCAACACAACCGACAGAAGGGAGCCGCGGGACCGTACCAGCGTGACGTAGTGCGGGCTTGAAAACCTGCCTGGAAGTCCCTCCAAGGGCTCGGCAGTTCTTTGCTAGTGAGAAAAGGCACTATTAACCTGCATTTAGTGCTCAAGCAAATAGGACTATTTTCCAAGCCTACAAAATAAACGTTCCTCTCTAGAATACTGTCCTAGGAAATCTACAGATATTGAAACGCTCAGAGACAGTGTTCTTCGCTGGGTGGTGCTCCTGTGATGGACGAGCCTAAGCACTTGTCGATAAAACAAGCACACCTATGGGAGAGGGAGTGTTTCTTTATGTGGTTTGATGTGCGTAGCACAAGGCTAGTCTATCACTCTCCAACCCTAACGTCCCTGATTGTCCAAATCCCAGGAAGTCCACAACCAGCTCCATCCCTTTGGACCTTCGTGGTCTTTGAGGGTTTCCAGAACTTCCTACTGTAATACTGATGGTCCTGGCTGAGCGACCCTCTCTGGAGTGCTTTCCTTTATCCCCGTGATGTCAGTACAATTAGAAAGTAAGGTTCAGAGGAAACAAGACCTAGGAGAGGCCCTGGTGTGAGAGCAAAAACTAACTAAGCATTATTCATGTAACAGGGGAAAAACACCAAATGCAGACCTTCCCCAAGCCACAGGTTTGCTGAAAACCAGCCTTAACTAATGTATCAAATAGGCCTCAGCTAAATCATCATTATTTATATAATTTTATACCAAATAATACAAACAACCTAAAAAAGATTCAAGGTTCCAAACTCTCCTATACAATCTACATTTATAATATATTATGGTATACTGTGAATTAAATTCATTCATATATTTAACAAATATTTATCAAACTCCTCGTCCAAGTTCCCTCATTTAACCAAAAGAGTCAAAAGCCCTTAAGGATTTTATTCTCTAGACGTGTAACAAGCACGCCGAGGGCCGTATCTGAACCTCTGGTTGGCTTTGGTGTTTGCTATCATTGATCACACCCTCAGACCCCCTTCACCTGACCCTCTTCTCTCAGAGCACAACTGTTCTGCATATTAATTGCAAGAAAATGTACTTAGGAAAGTAACTTCGACAGCACATGAAGCACAGGAGATAATTAACACGTATCAATGCTAAATATATACCAAACACTGTGCTAAGTGCATTTACATGCAGTTTCTCATTTAAACCTGATATTAGCATCCTCTGTTTTCGTATCATCAGAAAATCTCACGGTAAGCTTAGAAAATGATCACACAATATTTTCTGTTCATTTGAGTGGACAATGAAGACTATTTCTTGGGGTCACTACTGGCATAATAATAAGTACTACTGGGTAAACATGATAAACCATCACATAATCAGGGAAAAATTAACTGTCCCCCTCGAGGTAATTGATAAGACGTTCAGTAGAAGCCTTGCTGTTACATGTGTTTCTGGGGGAAGCCGGGGAGCACGCTCTGTAATATTGTGCAATAAAAAACGCAGGGCTTCTGAAACATGTAGCGTTGGGGCAAAGTATTCAAAACGCCTGGAGCTGTGCAGTGAGACCACCACCAACCACAAAAGTCCTGACTGTAAGAGATTAGCACTATTGTATGTTCACTGGCATTTGCGTCTAACAATGGTGAGTTCACGCATCCTTCGAGACTTAGGTCCTGGTGGACATTCCCATTGATATAATCTTATTGTGACTGCGTTCTTCATTGGTTTAACACTTTTTTAAAAAGGGAATGCCATTGTAGTTTCTTAGCACTCACGTTTTATTTTTTCCCAGTGAGCTGAATGCACTGGAAACCATAGCTAAAGGCACTAAACAAGCCACTCCTTGCAGGGACTCCTACAGGATTGTCAGCTTTTTTCTTAGGTTTTCACACATGGCTATGGGTGTTATTTTAATAAACTCTTCCTTGAATGTGAAATATACACAAAGAAACGGACAAAGTGGAAGTGCTGAGTTGGATGAATTTTCACAAATGGGCATGTCCGGGCAGCCAACCCCTCCCTAGAGCAAAACTTTTATAAAACTTGGCCAGCTTTTCTGAAGATCCTCTCTTCCCTGCGGTAATAACGACCCTGACTTCCAGGACCATAGATTCGTTTTGTCAGTTGGAACTTATATGAGTTGAATCGTTCAGTTTGCTTTTGGGTTTGGTGTGTTGTCTAACGGTACGTTTGCGACAGTCCATACATACAATGGTATGTTGTAGATGTCAGTAGTTTGTCCATCTTTCCTTCCCTGCAGCGTTCCATTGTTTCAATATATCGTGAATTGTTCCCCCCCTTTCACTGTGATTAGACATTTGTATTGTTTTCATCTTTTGCAAATAATGCTGTTGGAACATTATTGTGGATGATCTCTGATACACCCACGTATGCATTCCTGTTGGGTGTATTCATATGGCAATACGATATTCATATGGCAAAAACTGTTGGATTACAGGGAATGCCTAGGGTCAGTTTTAGTACAGAGTATCAATTTTACCCACCAGTTGTTCCATTTAAACTTTCATTAGCATTTATGAGAGTTTTCACTGTCTGTGTCTCCACTAATCACTGGCATTGTTCTCCTTTATTTATTTTAGTCATTTCATGGGAAAATACAATACAGATAAGAACGTGCATACAAAACAAGATCATGGCTTAAGGAACCATTTAACGCAAATATTCTTGCACTCACTGCATTGGTGAAGAAATAAAACTTGGTCATTTCGAGCTAGCTATCATTATTGCCACCCACTTCCTCCCCCCAAATCAGCTACTTTCCATCCTTAAACTAATGACCTCCTCCTTGCATGTGATTATGTTTTGAACCTCAAATATTTATCTCTCATCACTGTAACTTGGTCTTGTACTTTTTTAATTTTAATTTTATTTTACAAGGAAAAGATTTTCCCAATACTTTTCTGATACTAATTTTTAAGATAATTTTATTTTATATCTAGAACGTATTTGGTATGACCCTGCTTCTTTTCAATTTATTAAGACTTGTTTTATAACCCAGACTATGGTTTATGTTAGTACATTTTTCTCGTGGAGCACATTTAATCTTTTATTTAACCAACACATTTGCTCTGATATAGTGTCTTGGTTTCCCTGGTTTCCTGCCTTCCTCTCCTTCCCCACGTGTTGACAGAGATTGTTGGTATTATCTTAGACTTTATCTTAGACTGTTCTTTTGCATCTCCGACCTCACTTAGCTTAGGGGATAATTCCATTTCAAACACACACATGACTACTTTTTATATTGGTTAATGAACTCCTGCAAATGCAACTTTCTTACATGTAGAGGGTGGATATCAGGTAAGATGGGCTCGGTCCTTGTCTGCTGCTCAAAGTATCCTTTGTTCTCCACTCCCAGCATCTCTCCAGGTGGGCTGCCGAGAAGGAAAATGAACATTGACATCAGCTGTGGGATAAGCCTGTGGTTTAATATCCAATCATCTAGGAGATTTTTTAAAAGACCAATACTCATGTTCCACCCTACAACAATTAAATCTGAGGGAGGAACCCAAATTAGTAAATTTGTGTGTGTGTGTGAAACATCCCCTGTGCTTCCAATGTGCCGCAAAGTTTGGGAGCCACTGGGAGAAACATTCGAATGAGAACAAAGTGTGTGAAATCTTGACTTACTACTCCTATTCCTTGGTCTTCAGTAAAAGGCTTATCCTTCCCCTGTCAAGCATCCTCCATGACCACAAAGCTTACACAGTACCCGTAATGGTCCCTTCAATGCATAGAAGATACAGACATACCTTTGAACGTGCATCGACTTAATACATTTTTTGTAACGAATTAATAACGTGACAACCACAACACTGGTAAAAACCAGGATGAGCACAACCACGAGGATGGAGATATCTGCAACGGTAAAGGACACGTGCTTCAGCCAGGACATCAAGGCTGGGACAGTGGAATGTTAGCATTTAACTGAGCGATTACAATCCTGCTTCTTCCTTCCTTAAAAGACTTTAATTCCCCCTCCTCCAGTTATTAAATAAACTAAAAAGCCAAAACATTGTACAAATTATTAGCAGATGACACTCCATCCAAGACTTCATTGTGTTCAAAAAAGTCACAATGAGCAGGAAAGTTTGATTGCAAGTTACTCACTGACTATAGAAAAGGCCTTACTGCATTATGGGTGCTTAGAAGAGCTAATCCAAATGTAACTAAAAGATACATTAATTCTAAGAAAGCGGGCGATTGTAGTAAATTCAAACTTGGATATTTAAATATGCAAAATAACAAAAAGACCATACAAATCCATACAGAAATACAATATATATGTAGTAGACTTTTAGCGTGTAAGCAAAAAACGTCCTCACTGGCTAGGCTTTTTAGATCTGCAAGATGTTATATTAACCGAGGATGCTCACTGGTAACATTTAAGGTTTCCTCCCAGTCCACAGGTGCCTTCTCTTCCTCACACTGGCACTCAAGTTCACCGCCATCCACCTGGAAGAGCCGTCAATCGTATTACTTAACCAAATGACTAACATATAAGTTGTTGTTTTGCACCTGATTTAGCTGAGTGTTAGCACTACATCAAATGCACACACACAAAAATACCCACACCCACACACACATGAATTTTTAATTGATTATTGATTAACTAGGCTGTTTACCAAAATCAATGTTGGGAAAAATAAGCAAACGAAAGACAAGGAGGAGGTATCTCTGAAGATGGCCTCTGAACAAGAGAATGATTCTGACAAATTCAAAACCAGGTGAGCCAGATGGTTTGACTTATCTTTCCAGAAGCCATCAATATTATTAAATGAAGAGCCCCTGCTAGAGTTGGACGTATCATAGCCAAGGAGGAGACTCCTCCCAGGCTTAGTAACAGCGAGATAATATTAACATGGGAAAAAAAAGTGATGCCAAGATGTTTAGTTCATCAAAGAGCATCGTGTAATGGTTAAGAACAGAGAGTCTTAATTGAGTGAAAAAAAAAGGTTTTTATTGTTTTTTCTCAAAAGCTTTAAGCTAATGTTGATATTGGTGAAATTTAACTGTAAATTATGATAGATCCAACTTTAAACTTTAGGTTTAGATTTCATAGGTGCATAATTACTGGGTTTCTAGGTTACCAGCTCAATGATAAGACATATACTTGTAATACTGGCATCATCTACGTGTATAATACTTGGTTTGGCTCTTTGGATCTGTATTATTGATGATACATGAAAAAAATGGATCTCAAATGCATATTTGATTTAAAAATCACTGTCTATACATATTTACATATGCACCCACACATACACAGGCTCAGGAAAGGAGTCTTATGTAACTAAATGACTGGCAAGACCTTAATTTAAAAAGAAGTCAAACCTTACAGCATTTTCGTTGCACTGAGATGAGCAGTTGGTTGAACTGTAGACCTTCTCAATCTCCACACATTCGCCATTGCTGCACACCTAGAAATGGAGTAACCGATATGAATTAGAATTCCTTGCTCTTAGAATTTGCATCATTTTTTCTACTCTGAAAAACCACATGTAGAATCTTCTGTGGGAGAAGAAATACTCTATGGATGTTCAATCGATATTTGAAAATAATGTAGTGTACATTCAACCACTGATATACACAAACCCATTAATTATTAGAATGTCTAAGTCCTTACTAATTCTTCAGATGTTAATCTATCAAAGATTCTCCCCTTGTCATGGCAGTAATTTCTCCTATCATTTCTGTCAGGTTTTCTGCTGATTTGATAAGGATCAATGTTTGTCATGTCACAGTTGCTGGCTGGGCATTTTGTTAATGGCAATTAATCTCCTTATTTATACTTATTACCACCATTTCTAAATTTTGCTTTATTTTTTTGGTAAGTTTTATGACCGAATTAGTGTTGTTTTTGTTGCTTGTGGTGATCGTATGGCTTATCTTTGCCCCATTATTTAATTGTTAGCCATTATGTTTATTCTTACCTATTTCTTTTAAAAAAGGCTATGTCCAGAAATGTTTTCCCAATTCTATTGAGGTGTAATTGACAAATAGCAATTGGTTATGTTTCAAGTGTATATCATGATAACTTATCTACTTAGACATCGTGAAACGATTACCAAAAACAACCTGATTAATACATCCAGCACCGCAAATATCTTTTTTGTGATGAGAACACCCAAACCCTGCTCTCTCAGCCAATTTCAAGCACACATTACAGTATTACTGACTAGAGTCACCATGCTGTGCGGTAGATCTCCAGAATTTACTCACTTTAAAACAGAAATGTGTACCCTTTAACCAGCATCTCCCTGTTTTACCTCATCTGTGTCCAGCACAGTCACTGGCACCATGGCATGTGCCCAGGAAATATGTCTGATCGAATCAAATAAGTGCAGATTGCATGGTTACTTCATAGTCCAATCAGTTCAAAGACAATTAAGTCTAAAGCGAACTGTGGTTACCAGGAGTGAAAGGGGCAGGGAAGGATTAAGAGTTCGGGATTAACAGACACATGTGACTGTATATGAAATAGATAAACAACAAGGACCTACTGTATAGCACAGGGCACTCTATTCAGCTTCTTGTAATGAGCCATAATAGAAAAGAAACTGAAAAAATATATATGTATATATGTATACATATAAATGAATCACCTTGCTGTACACTTGAAACTAACATTATAAATCGACTATACTTCAATAAAAAAAGGATAAAAAATTAAGTCTATAATTTCATTAAGCATCTACTGTAAGATACTAAATAAGTACATTAATATCATTACATAATTTATATAACAAATATGAAGCAAAATGAACCTTTATTATAGTGTATGGCTACTCTGCTCAATTTAAAAAAATATTGCCAATTTTTTTTTTCTGCTCTCCCATGTATAGGCCCTCTGGAACCAATAATAGGACCCAGTGAGGTTTTAGGGCAGCCAAACCAAGAAGTTTTAATAAAACAAAGGGCTTTCATCTTACCATTCCCTCTCCACACTTCGTTCCAGGAGCAACCAGACCGAAATCCTTAGAATTATGGTATAAAAAAAAGGTTTTGCATTCAGTGCCATTCTGCTTCAGAGGCTTCTTAAGGTGGTAGATCTTTTCTTCTCCAAGGACAGAAGCGTGCTGCCCACCTGTGCAGAATATCTTTCCGCATTTGACATCTCTGAAGGAAAGGAAGAGCGGTCTCATGCATGGGACCAGAAACAGAACTTCGGAGACTAGGCTGGCAGGGAAGGGGCCTGGTCACGTTTTTCTAGACCCAGACATGTCAGAGGCCAGGCGGGGAGCGCAGAGTAAACTGCTGGACAGTCAAAGTCCTGACTGTGGGCACTGAGATGCGTAGGGAGAGAGGTGAACTCACTGTATTTCTTCATGATTGCTTGTAATTCTCACAAACCAGGACTAGCTCAAGTTCACAGAAGAGGCTTTCTTATTAGAAACTCGAATTAGCCCACCTTTCATCAGGACATTAAGATTTCTTTCTTATTTCCTGGGTGCAGCACATCAGTTGATTCTCACCACAAACCCATGGATTTGTTATCATCACAACCCCCTTACGCAGATTAGGCAGCAGCTGGAAGTCAGGGAGGGGAAGTGACTGCCCGGTTTGAGTTAGGATATTTAGAAAGCAGACTTGACCTTGACTATAGGTTTTTATTGTTGTTGTTTTCAGTCCAAATCCTGTTTGGGGGCGCACAGAAAGCCTTGCCAAACGCCAGGAGCAAACCCGGAAGCATGGCTCCGCGCGGGCTTCGAAAATCAGATCTAACTTTCAGTTCTCCCATCCTGTCTTCCAGTGTCAGCGTCTACCTTTCTTTCTTTC